ATCCTTAAATGTTAAATTTACTTAAAATATGCCTTGATGAACGAAACCATAAAATATTTTAATTCTAAGAGGATAATGGAAGTTTCTGCTGTGAACGTGACTACTAAATATAGCCTATACGTGCTTCAAAGTAGCTAACACTACTGTTTACATGTAGTAATATGAAAGATAATAAGCAAAAGAAATGTAATAACTCTTCATTATGTTATGTGCAGGAAAAAAACACGAACTTCTGCGGAGAGTAATGTTCGGAAGACTGGATTAAAACTGGGGAGAAAATCGCTAGCCTATTCTGCGTTCAAGCGCAAGCATAAAACTTGCCACAAAGCAACATCAAAATTAATGACTGTCTTGAAAAAACAGTAAGGAGATATTTTTATTATTTATTATTAAACTAGTGTTCTCTGCTCAGATGGAGATGCTTGCATGGAGATGTTTCGATTTTAATTCCTTCTTTTTAAAGTAGACATTTCAAGTTTTCTATATATATATTTCTTATCTATGTGAGCCAAGTAGCCTATAGGCTTTAGTTTCATTTTTTGTAACGCGCTCCAGACCGGAGACCGAGATGGCACAATCCTGTTTGTTTTCTTTATTTTTAAAAAGTACCGCATTTTGTTGATATTGTGAGTGTACACAAATAAAAGTAGACCCTTTACAGTGTAGAATGTTTTATTAGTCTTATCTATATGAGGAAAAATTATGCAGTATTTTAGGTTGTTTTCACTGTTATTAGGGGGAAAATGTGATTGCGCAGACACAGTTTACACTAACACCTCTACTGCCGCAACTCCTGAAAAATGTTTTCATTCTGCGTCGCCCCATCAAGCTCTCGCTGGATCCCCTCCTCTGCTATCAACGAGAGGAACGTCTCAGGTTACGAGACACTGCTTATGTGCTGAAGGAACTGTCTCAACAGACCCTTAGTAGCAACACACTGTTAAGCAGGTATCCAGAGGATATATAGGAGGAGTACACTTACCAGCTATGTGGATTTTAGAAAAGGGGGCAAAGCATAACGTGCACACACTTCAATACCGTTCTAGGGGTTCTCGTGGCACCCTGAAAGAGCAGCCCATAGATAGAAAAAGCATATCCCCAAACGCTATGTCTATGGCTATAATGCTTTTGCCCTCCTCAGCTATTTCCTGCTTTTGCTGGGCTGATCCCAGCAGACCAATGGCCCCTGAATCAGACAATGTTAATGAAATAACATCATCCTCTCGTGCACAGCTGACGATCGCAAAAGGGAAATTCAAACAGAACAGTCAATGAAGACGAAGAAGAGAATGATGTGTGCTCCCGGTGCCTATTTATACTGTAGTCGCACCGGTAGTGACGTCATGGCTGTCGCCGGCCAACGAGTTGGTGTTTTTTCAATGTATGCTTCAGACACGGGTCACGACGAGGCGTTCCCCATAGCGACCCCTAGAGGACGCAGTTCGAAGTTCCCATGAAAGGGAACTTCTGTACTTCCTTAACAGACAACGAAACAGCCATTTTTTGGTTGTTAAAAAAAGGTTTGCTCGTTCAAACAGTTGCATTCGATTCTTCACTGTGCTGATTTAAATCTAGCAGTTCTGTTGTGTTTGTGCCGCAAGTTCAGTGACGCAGGTAGTGAAGATTCTCTCCGGCCAATCAGTGATCAGCAGAGTTTACACGTTACGTTTTGGTAACGGCACGGTTCGCTTGGAACCTAAACCGAGGCGGTACTGAAAAAAAGTACCAGGTAGTGTACCCAGTGGAAAACCCCCCAAAAGTGAACCGTACCGAACCGTACCGTGCCGTACAATGCAGTGAAAAAGCGCCATATGTGTTACGGACCACCAGGGGTCCGCGGACCCCACTTTGAGAACCCCTGTCCTAAAGGAATGAATGTGAGATTTCCAGCATGCTTTTTAGTAAAATGTTATCAAAAATTGAGTAGATGATATCCTTAAGCAGGCTGGAATGAAGTGTGACATTGTAAAGCATCTGCCATTTTCTTAATGAAATTGTTAAATTACGCAGTAACATCATTACTTCTACTTTTTAAAAATAAGCTTTAGTCAATCACTCTACACATTACGCAGAGCCAGGAACAGCACGTTTCTATCTTACTCTCATGGTGCCCTCAAGTGTACCTGGAAAACTTGTACTGTTTGCATACATTATTACGAGATGTCAAACATGCAAATTGGAATCAAAATGTGGAAGTAGCCTAAAATGAAATGTTTGTGATACATAAAGCAGTGAATACACAAAGCAGTGAAAGTCAAGTGATTAACTTCACGCTTGTTGTCTATAAGCTGTTCCAAACATCACACCTTTAAAATGACTGAAACACAGCATTTAAAATTAAAATAACTTGCAAAATCATTCATTACAATTCACTACAGATCTGTTTTCTGCTCATGTTTATTATAGATCAGTGTTTCTGTGCACCCCTTTCAACAGCACAACTAGGCAACTCATGTATCATCTATTCTAGAATGCTGAGTTTCCCACTTGTAAATATGACTTGGTTTGGTCATTCATGTGCGTAATTCGAAATTATGATATTTCCAACTGCACATGAAGGGCACATTATTCTTAGTTATATACCAACTGGAATAAAACATCTTCTCCTGGCTTTAATGAATAGTATCTATCCTACTTCCTCCTTACTTCACTGTGACTGGGTGGGCAAAGTCACTGAACACTGAAGAGGCATCCTTGATGTGTAAAAGTGGGCGGTCATGTTCAACAATGGTCTTTTTGGACTAGGAAAGAAGTTTTCTGTTCTGAAACTTACAGTCTGTTTCATAGTACACACATTCTTTTGAAAACTTGATTTGGTCACTCTTTATTTTAAGGTCCAATTCTTGCTATTAACAAACCATTAACTATGACTTTTGCCTCAATAAACTCCCAATTTGCTGCTTATTAATAGTTAGTAAGGTAGTTGTTAAGTTTAGGTATTGGGTAGGATTAGTGATGTAGAATATGGTCATGGAGAATATGTGCTTTACAAGTACTAATAAACAGCCAATGTGTTAATAATAGGCATGCTAATAAGCAACTAGTTAATAGTGAGAATTGGTCCCTATACTAAAGTGTTACCTTTGATTTCTTATAATATGACCACTTAAAACACAATCATTAGTGTATGTCAGGAGACATTTTAACATTCCAGATATTTGAAATGCAAAGGACGCCCTCAATAACTAGGAAAGTCTTCACTCGGATTTGCATAATTAAGAGACTATTACACTGAATGCAAGCCTAATTGGGATCAAAACACAATTACAACAACAACCACAAGTGCGGCCTATTGAGCTATTTAAAAAAGGTATTGCAGGGTCTGAGTATATTGTGAATGTCTAACGGTGTAACTGTGCACGAGTCTGGTGCTCTGTTCACCCGCGGAGAGAGATACAGTAGTGGGTGGAACTCTCTGGACGGCAGTGTGGCCTTTAACTGGCAGGGCTCTGACATTTGGCCGATTGGTGCATGTCCCTGTATGTGCTTAAGTACAGTACATAGTTTCATAATTAAGCAGTTGGTGGGTTGCTTGAATGACAAGTCGACTAATCGATCTTAAAGAGCCCTCTAAAATTAGGCTAGTTTCAGGATCGTCCAATCAGGGTCAAGATTCTTTTAATTTTTTTATTCAAAAAACAGAGCAGGAATGAAACGGAACAGGAGTCTCGGGACAAAAGTGAAACTATTTTTTAACTTTAACAGCCTTAGTGCCCTAAAAAAGTAATAGTTGAAATACTTTTATTTCGTATTAAGTATAGTTCAAATCTATTAACGTATTTACTGACATATCGCTCAAGACTTAGGCTACTGATATACCAATTATAATTAAACTTTATTTGGAGTAGTACTTGTGCACAATGGATATTTCTTAATATTAAGCCTAAAATGTGTTTTAATATTACTATTGATGAGGATTGTATGATGAGTAATATTAGTCTTTAAATGCAAGATATTTAAAGTGTACCTGAAGTATACTTTAGCACAATTAAATATACTTCAGTGTATCTTTAGTTGGACTTCAGCACTACTTCCGCACAATTAAAGTGCATTAAGTACAAAAGGAGTTGTTCCAATTTAGCAGAATTTTAAGTATACCAGTTTAGTATAGTAAAAGCACAATTGCAGGGTATTTTTATTAAGTACATAAATATATAAATGTATTTGTAGTACACTTAGCATGTAAAAAAATGTTTTTCAAATACACTTTAGTATATTTATTTTTCACTAGGGTGAGCAAAAGAGATTTCTTTTGAAAACATTTTTTTTTTAAATCTTACGGTAGTTTCTATAAAAATAACTCCCATATGTGATTATATAACTAAATATTACTCTTATATGTGAAAAAGTTTTAAAGCACTGAATTAAGAGAGTTATTTGCAAGCTTTGGCCTATTCTTTTATTCATATCTGTCAAACGCACCTGCCTGCAACCATTCAGGTGTGCAAAGTGTCTATTCCTCAAAATATAATTAAAGTCAATCTGAGATATATGCAAGCTGAAGTGACTGATAGCTAGACTGATAGATGGGAAAAAAATACCACATTTTACTGGAGATTGTGACTCATCCCAAAATAAACCAGTTTTGAAGTGTGGCTGAAATTCTCCCACTAAAGATTCAGCAAGGCATTTCTGCTCATCCAGTACTCAGCAATTCTATTGCCTTCTTCCCCTCTCATTTTTATGTCTCCTCTCTTTCTCACAAGAGTGCACTCTTCACACAGTATGAATCTAAATGAATGCTGTTTCAGTAACAGTGTCTGAAGAGCAACTGGCAAGTGTTTGCATGCAGGTCTGGCTAATTGCTGACTGTGTTTATAAAATCAAGACAGTTTGCAGAGAAACACATTTGAAAATGTTCTTATTTAACGGGTTTCATCTCATTGCTCATTAGACGACAGAAAAGGGTTTTATTATTAGTCTAGCTTATATATAATTATATGTGTAATACAGAAACATTAGGGTAGGTGATTTTTTGAAATGAATAAAGTCAGACCTACCTTAGCTGTGGCACGTGCTTGATACTCTGGACAGCCATTCACTGTTATTGTTTCATGCATATATTGATAGACCTATTAAAATAAAGAGAACAAAAAATCTGTTTCAGTTCTTCTACATTCATCAAAATGATGAAAAACATGGATAAATAGCAGTGAGGCATTCTGCAACAGTAGACATTACAAATTCAAGTCAGCCAGGTTTATTTGTAGAATATGTAATAGATTGCAGATAAACTGGTGATTCAATGGCATTTATGTAATTAAAAAGCAAAACAGTGCCCATTTGTTAGGAAATGGTTCAATATTTTACCTTGCTCTAAGATAAAAGCCCAAAACAAAGCTTGATTTAACATTCTGAAATGAAATTCGTTAGAACGCAATAATGTGCAAACCAAGAACATGTTGCATTCTCAATGTGGCCACAGGGGGTGCTATAGTGGGCAATAGGGTAACTTCTCTCTAAAGTTACTACTCCTATGGTCAGTTTTTTCTTTTAGGTCAACAACTGTCTTGGCAGAGAAAGCTACCTGAATGATAGCTTCTGGTTCGAAGGTCACATTAGCAAAACTTTGGTGAAGTTTTGTTGGCAAAGAAGGTCCAATGTCAATAGTGTGGCCTGAAGAATATGTGTGTTCATTCAAAGAAAGGTTTTCCTATGAATTAATTAGAGCACAGTCCATTTCTACTGTGCCTTTCCTATGGGGACAATGAGTGGGTTATTCTACTCACATTCCTGGGGGGTCATAAAACCAGTGATATCATGATTAGTTGTCATGGGGACCAGGGGGCCTGGTGTTTTGCAGAAATCCTGGCATCCAGTTTATTGAGTGAGGGGATTGTGACGATTTGTTAATCTAATGAATAATTGATTTGTTAAATCAAATAAAAATTAGTGTGTCAGATTGGTCGAGACGCTACAGTAGCGATGTATGAAGCACTGCTTACTCAAAGGTAACTTCTAAATCAAGCGGCTTTATACTTGTATAAGCAGGGAATTTCATGGAAACTTACATCTGATGTGAAATTTGCATGGAGAAATTTTTCATCTATCCCTAAAACAAAAGTCCTTATCGTGTGGATTCCAATTGAGATGACTGCATTTCGCCATACAAAGGTAAATGTGACCACACCTTAAAGGAATATTTCTCCCAAAAATAAACATTTTCTAAAAATTTACTCAATCTCATCCAAGATGTAGAAGAATTTGTTTCTTCATTGGAAAAGATTTAGCAAGTCAAGTCACCTTTATTTATATAGCGCTTTTAACAATACAGATTGTCAAAGCAGCTTTACAGTATTAAATAGGAAAATAGTGTAGTAATGCAAAAGGACAATAGTAAACACTCAATTTTCAGTTAAAGGCAGTTCATCATTGAATTCAGTGAGCTCAGTTCAGTTTAAATAGTATCTGTGCAATCAAGTCGACGATATCGCTGGAAAATAAGTTAAAAATAATAATTAAGTTAAATAATAATAAGTAATTTGGAGAAATTCAGCATTACACCACTTGTTCACCTATGAATCCTCTGCAGTGAATGGGTGCCGTCATAATGAGAGTCCAAACAGCTGATAAAAGCAGCGCAATAAACCACAAGTAATCCACACTCCAGTGAAGTGTGTTTGTAATAAACAAATTCATCATTAAAGGAATAGTTCACCCAAAATTAAAAATTTTGCCATCATTTACTCACCCTCATGTCGTTCCAAACCTGTATAAGTTTCTTTCTTATGTTGTACATAAACCAAACAGTGGTTGGTCCCCACTGACTTCCATAGTTGGGAAAGAAATACTATGGAAGTCAATGGGGACCATCAACTGTTTGATTACCCTCATTCTTCAAAATATCTTCTTGTAAGTTCAACATAAGATAGAAACTCAGGTTTGGAATGACATGAGGGTGAGTAACTGATGACAAAAATTTCATTTTTGGGTGAACTATCCCTCTTAAGGTGTTTTTAACTTCAAACCGTGGCTTGGCTAAATATGAGTCCTCTATTGATAATATAGCTTAGGAAAACAAGGAATAGACTTTTTCCACTGGATGAAGCCTTATGTTATAGATTATGATGGAATTGTTTCTTAGAAACACACAGCTTTTCATATCTCAAGATGTAAGATGATTGATTGGACTGGAGTGTGGATTATTGTGATGGTTTTATCTGCTCATTCTGACAGCACCCATTCACTGCAGAGGATCCATTGTGTTGAAATGCTACATTTCTCCAAATCTGTTCCGATGAAGAAACAAACTCATCAACATCTTTAATGGCCTGAAACTGAATCATTTTTTATTTAATTTCCATTCACATTTTTGGGTGAACTATTCCTTTAATGGCACAAAACACACACACACACACATGCCTGAGATCTCCTGTGTTTATGTGCTTGCAATAGTTTGTTTCTGTTACTGTGGTGTTCAAATGTATGGCGACAATGAGAATTTAAAAAAAGCTAAAGCGTCACTGGTCTACATGACCAAAAACGGTTTGTTTGACATTTTGGCATAAATTATTTTTAGATTTATGCTTTATTCAGTTTCTACCTTTACACTTTTTTAAATAGTTTGTAAAGAGAGCTTAATCCAGATCTAGCCACAGACTCCTTTCTAAAATGTAACACATGCAACGTCTTTCATCACCGGTTCTATATTTTCACAAGTAGGTGCGTGCACAGAGCCCATATCTGCATTCACACCACCCAGGGACGAGACTATTAGCTTGAGGTCCTTTGAGGATTTGAAGAACCTATGTTTATCTCATTAACCAGCGCCTCTGAAACGCAGCTGGTGCTACAGGAAGCTCCAGCTCTCTCTCCCCTAAATAACAATTTTCTCTTTAATCTGTCCTCCTGCACCTTGGGCAGAATCTTTAGCTGTTTTACTAACCACCTACTGAGAGATTAGTGCGATAAAAAACCTTCTCTTTCTATGCCTGTTGCTCTGCCGACTGACTTTAAACCACTCAGTTTAAATCTTCACAACAGGCACGAACTATCGGATGGCCTTTAGTAGGGCTGTCAAAAAAAATTTAAAATTTCTAAAATGCGTCGAATTTAAAAGAAAAATCCACATTCGAATGCAAAAATTTGCATTCGAATTTTAGGTGTGTGTCACGCAGTCTTATCAGTGGCACACAAGATGCGATGACGATGTAGGTGTCATTGCATTTTAATGCTTTTTTTAGCCTATCCAGTTGAACCCAATAAATGCGGCGCTGCTCATTCAAAATATTGCGGAAAAAGAGAACATCAATGCGGAGATGATGTTGTTTACATCAAAACTGAAACCAAGCTGTTCACACAAACGTTCCACTCGCGTCTCGCACAAGAGAGCCGCATGTTTAGAAAGCCATGTCAAATTAATGTAAGTTCAACTTATGAAAAACATTCTCGAAACTTTCAGAGGTTTTCCCCCATCCCACTGCATCATGTTTTTAAGTGAAAAAAGTACTCTTTGTGATTGGTTTTGTATTAAACTATACATACATGATGCTGTTTTGTTTCTAATTGTTTAAGCAACTTATTTAACTATATATGGTTTAGAAACATTATTTTAAACATTATGCACTTTTTTCAAAGATAGTCGTGTTATTTTATTGCTTTGAAGAAACGTGCATTAGAAATACTTTGCTCGATGCGCCCCTCTTGTGGCCTCAAGAGAGAAGCCAAAAGCTTTTTTTCCCCCTAACTGAAATTATGCCTTTTAAATTTGAATATAATTCGAATATTGATAATATTTAAGTACAAAATTCGAATTTAGTTTGTCAGCAATTTTGACAGCCCTAGCCTTTATAAACGGCTTGAGAAAAATGAATGAGGCTGCTAAGTGTCTACAATTAAAAACATAGATTATGTTACTAAGCAGAGGTGACAATCTATATATGAAATATGTTTCACGCCGAAAGCTGCACCATAATAGTTTTCTGCACAGCAGTGTTGTACACCTTATATATTTACCTTAGTTGTTATTTTATGTGCCTGACTTGTCATCTTTTTAAAAATACAGCATGTTTGGAAAACCTCTTGAAGTTCTGCACCAAGTGCAGTAAAGTTTGTTCAGGTAAAGAAATAGTTCACCCTAAAAATGAAAAGTCCGACTTTCTTCATCATGGAACAACCAACTAGCATTTTATATGATAATCTAATAAGGTTTTTCAATCATAATCATCTATAGTTACATCCTTTTTTAGCTGCTTATTATGTTTAGTTTAGTGCCAATGAAGAAACTTTAATTTGTTAACCTTTAGTGACTGAACTTCAATAGATGTGTGAAGGATCAATGCAACCAGACGGAACAAATCAATAGATTTAGGACCTTAGTAAATCTTTCAGAAGCCATACTTGTGTGCATGTGTGTGTGTGTCCCAACGGATGGGGATTGTGTGTCTTGAAATTGCGTCTTGGAAATGCATGAATATCAATAAAGGTCAGGCTATTTCAGTGTGTAATTTGAAAAAAAGAATGTCTATTGACCTATCATTACTTGTGACATGATTATTTTCATGTCATTGGCTCACCGATTCTCATCATCACAATGCAAATAAAATCTAATTTTCATTGCTGAAATTGGAAACATTTATAATATATTACATTAAGTACCTCATACCTCATAGTAGTATTTGTTCTAATTAATTTATGGTGATTTTAATAATGAAAATGTAATTTTGATGATTTTGACATCACAACATCATTGTAATGAGAATTTGTGGTACAAAACTACTGAATTGTCATGAAAGTAATGTTCTTTGTGAGATGTACAGTGTTGTTCTTTCAGTTTTTCTGTGTCTACCTACAATCATGTCTCAGCTCAGTCCTTGTCTTCCTGTCTCCCATGTCTTGAGGGATCACTGTTTCCTCTCAGCTCACTGGGTTTTCGCTTGGCTTTTATTAACCCATATCTGTTTTACCTCAGCTCAGTCCTTGTCTTCCTGTCTCCCATGTCTTGAGGGATCACTGTTTCCTCTCAGCTCACTGGGTTTTCGCTTGGCTTTTATTAACCCATATCTGTGTTCCCTCCAGTGAGATCGACACACACACATACACACACACACACACACACACACACACACACACA